ATTGTATAGTGGGTATGGCTCACAGAGCAGGCCTGTTACAGTACAGGCGACAGGAACATTGTAGAGTGAGCTCTGGGACTGATGGCTCACAGAGTAGGCCTGCTACAGTAGCAAAAGTGATAAGTACAAAATGAGGAGAAAGCATTTGAATTATTTAATAAATTTTCTCCAGAAAACTTACAAGCCTGTAGTAGTGTAACAAACACTTGGCTTTAAAATATGTAAAAAAATACTTATATAACACATGGACACAATGTAGGCACATACAGCACACACATACTAATGCACTTGGAGAGAAACAGAAGGCTTACATAGTAAAGCTTCTATGAGGGATAAAGTATTTTTGTCTTTTTGTCTATATAAGCTTAAAAGGTTATTTTAGATATGTCTCACAAATTTCATGGAGAGCCCCACACAACACTACCGAGGAAGATTTCAAAGGCTTCGAAGGAAATTGGGAAGAAAATCACATCCATAAAAGTTTCAAGAGAAAAATAAAATAGCAAGGCATAGATATAGCCAAGAGAGAAGAACTCTAAAATGGGAACCGAGAAACTGAAGAAAGAATAGAGGAGGGCAGTGGAGGAGGCAGAGTGCTCCCGTTGTCGAGGATCAGCAGAACTAATACTGTTTAAATGGCAATGTTACTAAAACTGAAAGTGACTGATGGGTTGAAGGCAACCCTGATGAAAACTTGATGGCAAAACTAGGGAGAAATACTTCAATTAACATACAAGGATAGGCAATTCCAAATAGCTCACACAATACTGAGTAAAAGAAAAAATACTAAAGATAAAACAGGACCTTATTCAAACTGTTCTGCAGAACTATAGTAATGAGATCAGCACAGCACTGGCACCAAAACAGGAGAGGGGTACAGTGGAAGGGAACAGAGGCTAGAAAATAAATCCATACAGTGACAAGCAGTTTGTTTTCAATAAAGATAACAAAAGCACACTTTAGAGAAAAAATAGCCATTTCAAACCTTGTGTTGAGAAAAACGGATACTTGCATGAACAAGAATGAGGCTAGATCCCTTCTCTCATCCTGTATAAAGTTATCCAAATGTACCAGTAAGCTTAGTGTAAGACCTAATGCCTCAAAACTGTCATGGGAAAACATTTCAAGACAGATTCTTGACAAAAACAATCTGAAAAGGACCTCCAAACAGTCAAGAAAATAAAGTCATTAATTGACAAATGAGACTGCATAAAATAGAAGTGTTTCTGTTCAGCAAAGAAAACAGTTAACAAACAGGGCGAGGAGATAGCTGACAGACTGAGAGAAAGTCCTGGATAGATATCTATTTAACACGAGATTAAAATTTGAATATATAAAGAATTCAAAAAATAACACTCAAAAATAAACAGATGAATCAAACAGAAAAAAAGAGAGATACGCTTGTTTAAAATATTTTTAAAGGTTCTGCATAGAAAGTCCATCTCAGTCAGAATGGCTATAATCCAGGAATTAAACAACAAACACTGATAAGAATATGAAGAAAGAGCCTTTATTCATTGCTGGTGGGAATATAATATATGAAGCCAATATATGAAGATAGGAATAAAAATTCCTCATGAAGTTGATGCCAGCACAACTCTCCTGGTATACCCTCCAAGTATTCTGTGTCTGAATACCAAAGAGATGCATACATGATGTCTACATACTACAGGGATGCATGAGCATCACATCCAATTATAGAACTAATCCCCATAGTCAGGATGTAAAACTAATTTAAATGCCAATTAACAGACAAACATCAAAAGAATATGTGGTACCTAAACACAATGAGGGTCACTGAGACACAAAAATCAGGTTTATATTATCATAAGGAAAATATGTAAAAATGTGTCTCATTGTGTTAAACAAAAAGAGCCAGACTTAGTACGAAAAAATAGCACATTTTCCTATTAAATATTGTATAGATAATGATGGAGTATTATACGATAGATTAGATAGACAGATAGATAGAGAGATGACAGATAGATAGATAGATAGATAGATAGATAGATAGATAGATAGATGTCTTACAGATGACAGACAGCCAGATAAATAATGATACAGATATATTGATATAGTTATAAATATGGAGATAAATAGGAAAAGGCTATATAGAGAAGCATGACTACCAGGAGGAGGGAAAGGGAAAGGAGGGTTATAATGTGTGATTATTTAACAATGTATAAAGACTTATATGTATGGAAACATCAAAACAAAAGACATCATTTTGTACATTGTTTTTCAATGAAAATTGATGCAGCATAATGGAAAACAGAACCTTATTTTAAGTGTTCGTATTGCTATAGCTGTTTCAGACACTTTGAGGGGACAGGATTCCAAAGTGACAGAGCAGAGTGACTCTTAGGCACCTGTGTCGGGCATACTGCCTTATGGGCTACAACAAACTCTCTCTAATAGTTAACCAGTTCACCTAAAAATTATGTGTGGCCCAAGCCTGTAATTCTAGTACTCAAGAGGAAAAAACTGGCAGATTTCTGTGAATCCAAGGCCAACCTGGTCTATGTGGAGATTTTCAGCCAGCCAGGGCCAGGTAGTGAGGCTAGCCTCAAACAAATACAAAACAAACAATGTGTGGACTGAGACTGTTGATCAATGGGAGAACATTAGCCTAGGTTGTGCACGGCCTTGTGCTCAGTCTCTACCTTCATACACAAAGCATGTTACTTTTCTTTTATAGAGAGTCATTCAAGACTGATGGGCTTGATTTTCTTATATACCCTACACCATGTTATATGATTCAGGACTAACAACAATATCATCTGCTGGGACTGGATAGAGATTATGCACTGAGAACATATAAATCACAATTTCTGCCACTATTAAAAAGACAAAGAACGTAGATAAAACATAAACATTTGACAAGCTTTTAATGCTAATCTCTAAAACACAATACTGCATATTACATTACCCTAGATTTATTGAAACTCATCTTAAACAATTGAATTTTTTATTATTGTTTTTGAAAAATAAGCATTCTGAATTCTGCTTGGCTAAATCCTCCTTGCTCTATTCTGTGATAAACCATGACAGGTAATAAATATTTATTAATTTCAATGACAGGAAATATATTTAGTCCTAGAAAATCAATAAAAGTAACCCTTAGTAATTTCCCCAATATATACAAGGTCATAAGGAACTTAGTTTTAATAATTCATTTAAGCAATATAGTTTGAGTTGGAGACAAAAGTCACATGCGCCCAGAATAGAGGGCTACTTGGCTGGAAGCCAATAGTTTTAGATGACATTTGTGTCTGCTCCAGACACAATACTAGAGGAAAGAGGCCATGGCTTACTCATAAGTAAGTACTTATGTACTTTACATTGTGTGTAAAGTGTGGTTTTGGCCATTTTAAGAGACTTGTTGATGAACATAGAATGTGCTTATATTGTTTGGGATATAAATAATCCAATATTTTGAACCTAGAATTTTCGTTAGTAAAACAGGAAAAATGTATGGAAAACAGTTACTTTGAAATTATAAGTATTCTTCAGCACACAATAAGAACAAAGGTGATAAAAAACATTGAAAATATGATTTCATGAATATTTACAGGATAATATGTTAATATATCACGAGATTACATAAACTACTAAATCTTTTATGCCCACAATCACAAGTAGCAATGCTAGGATAAGGAGAGTAAGAAATAAACAAGAATTGGGCTCATCTGTAGTACAACATAGTGCTCATGCAGTATTCCTGTTACCTGTACAGCCTTGCATGTCTAAGTCAGGCTGCTATGCATAACATACATCCTAATTGCAAATAATGAGGGAGCATGCTCCTTCAAGAGCACAGCCTGAAAGAAAACTTTCTCCAAAAGCTCTTTCAGGCTGAGTTCATTTACATATAGACCCCACCAAGCTGCTTCTGTACAGACCAAAACAAAGTGGGGAGGAAGCCACTGAACCTCTGATGGTAATCAACTGTTGGGGAGTTTGTTAAGACAGCTTTCAAATCAGTTGCTTTGAAATACGGAGGCACATTAAAATTCCTTAAGATATATGTTTTGTTTTGTTTTGTTTTTTTAAAATAAAAACAAAAACAAATGGAAGCCAGTACAAAATGATCTAACTGACAAGCTATGTGGTGGGCTCCTTCATGTTAAAAGTTTTTTACATACTGTAAAATGATTCTGATGGACTGGATGTGATATATTTAATTTTAATGAGTGTATTCTGTGATGAAGTAGCTTAAGCCTCCAAAGAAGGCTCTTATCTGTGTTTTTTTTATGAGAATGTAATACAAATACTTGTTTTAAAATTATTAATAACTCATTGTTTTTCTATTTTTGTTGTTGTAATGAAAACAATTAAAAGTTCCTGCTTATGAACCAATCTCTTTGATGATAAAACATTGCTTTCTGACAGCCTTCCCTGTGCAGTCATGGGAACTGTAGACTGAGCTACTGTCCACTGAGAGCTGCCTAATAACCGTTCAGTGAACTGGCTGTCCTACATGGGTCCAGTATGTTGAGTATACACAACGAAGTTTAAAGACTATACATTAGTAGTCATCATTCTAACACAAGGGAAAAACGTACCTTGCTTTTTGTCTTCGAATCTGGAATCTTGAAAGCAATTGTTCTGGGCAGATTCAACATCTGTGATGGATTTGATGGGATGAGACTGAGAGGAGGAGGCTGATCACGGAAAACTGACGTCAAGCAGAGTTGTACAGTCTCTTTCATTGCTTTTATCTGGGATTCCTGAGAGCCAGGGGAAGATTAATATTTTTACCTATGGTTCTTGTTACCATTTCCACATTGGTCTTATAATACACTCACCCCATACAAATAGAGACAGGTTTTCAAATGAAATTTCTTGTTCTGCTTCAATATGATGCCTACAGTAGCTTCTCTACTTGAACACCTTCTGCCCAGCAGGTGGCATAGTTAAAGCTGTGGAACCTAGGATGAGGGAATGGAACACTGGGTGACAGGCCTTAAGTTAAAATAGCATGAGTGTACTTCTGACCTGATTTTTGATTTCTGATCTTTACTCTTGCTCTCTCTCCTTCTCCCTCCTTTTTCTCTTCCCACTTCCTTCATCTCCTTCAGCTACCTGATTTAATGAGATTTGATCAAGCAACCCAAGTACTGCCGCTGCCTCTGAGAGCCATTCTGCTACCATGTATTCCCTCTAAGGATGACCCAGGAGTACCTCAGGCACTGTCATGAACTATGAATGTGGTCCCATATATTGGTATTCATAGTGTCATTTCACATTGTCAACCCTTCGAACCATGAACTAGACTAAGTTCTTCCATCTTTGAGTGACTTTTCACCAGATATTTGGTTGCATTGTTGAAAAGAAATAACTAACGCAGAAAACTGATAACAAAATATCGGTCAGTTGCTGCTGTAGACCTGATTATGTTCTCTGTAAGTCTTTGGCTTACAAGAGGATATGGAACAGTTGGAAATGCCAGGTAAGATTATTCTAAGAAACTGGAAGCAGTATTTGGTAGGTGATTCTCCTGGGGGTTTGGAGGATCAGTATCCCAGCAGAAATGAGAACCGTGAACCTTGGCACAGGAGGCCTCAGAGGGTGGGAAGGATTGTATCAGACATTGGTTAAGAGGTTGCATATGCTACATCCTGCAAACTCTCTGACAATGAAATGAGCATAGTGATGAATTCAAACGCAGTGGACTGACTGGTTTGATGGAGAACATTTCGAGAGAGCAGAACAGTCAGACTGCAGGGTGTTGTGCACTGCGCTCAGGGAGGTCTCCAGTAGGAAGAGACTGGAGCAGAAGGATGTGCATGGAAAAAACACCGTTGAGGGTAGTTAAGTGGGACGCATGGGACAGATACCAATAATCTGCACAATAAAATTATTGGTAGAGTTAAGGTGTGATTGCACACCCTACATGAGGACAATAGAAAGGAACATTTAGGCTAAACCCTCACTCCAGGAAGGTTCTAGGGGAAACAGTGTGAAACCATTTGAAAAGAGAGTGTCCCACACAGGGGATTTCCATGGTGCCTTTTTGACAGTTTTGAGGCTGGAGAGATGGCTCAGCAATCAAGACTATGTACTCTTCCTGTACAGGACTGGAGCTTGGTTTCCAGCATCAGCACATCCAACCCTTTCTTCTGTCCTTTTGTAGGACTGTGCTTCTATATAAAATACCCACCACACCTATACACATAATTTAAAAATAAAAATCAATCTTAAAATGAAAGATGACCTTTGGACTTTTGAAGAGTGTTGGGCATATGAAAGATTATATGGTTTTTGACATTAATTGACCGAATTGTCAGTATGAGATGGGTATGAATATAAAGGTGAAAATCTATAATAGAGGGTTTCAATACTGAGCGCTCACAGACAACAACATTATTTCCCATTTGCTTGATTCTTTTTCTTTTGTTCTGTTCACACCACACACCTAGCAGATTAGGCACATCAATCTCTACATTAGAGCAATAACTCAAATGCTAAAAGTAATGACCAGCCATGAAGTGATGGTTTTAAATGCACTGATGTATTGTGAAAGACAGTGCACATATATTGAATTTTGCCTTAAATTTGGTGTCACATGTATGTACTCAGAGGCTCCGACCTCATCTGGAAATCTCCAGGTTAATATAATCAGCTCTCAGTCTTTAACTGTTAAAGGGGTTAGAGAACGATTTGTATTCTGCTTCAGGCTGTACTCAACATCTTCCTTCCTGTGTTTCCTTTATGGGACTTAACCTGCACGGGGATTTCCTGTCATACCTTTGAGTACAGTTCTTTGTTGACTGTCTAGATAGATGCTACCAGTAACCATAGTGTGAGATTTGTCACCAGAATCAGTGCCATTGTATTCTTACCACCTCAAGAGTGTGCTTCGAATGGAACAAGTTTGTTTCTGATGCTGCCAGTGTTGTGTTCACACAGGCCCAGGGTCAGAATCTGTCATCATTATACTTCTAGGGCTGTCTATACTGGAGCTTCAGGCAACTATTTACTTTGAGGTTCACTACAACCAGATGTCCCTTACTGAAGTATGAGACAACATATATAACATGCTTTCCTCTGGATCTGAAGAACTATTCTTTTTTTCTGATAACTTTTGATTTACCCTTTCCCTCCTAGCCCCAAACTATTTTTCCCATTTGTTTTCCCCTCCGCTTTTGAAGTGGTAAATTCTATAGCTAAAATGCCCCCAATTTTCAGTATACTCCAGTTGCAGCTGAGTAAATAATAGCTTTCTGGAAACTCACAATTGATTCATAGATCTTGAGATTCTTTTGGTTATTTTGGTATGATAAACTGGCACTTCATTCATTAGAAATTACACTGAGGACAAATTTGGGGTGTAGTTACATGATAGTTAAGGTTACTTCAACATGAGACAAAATATATCTAAAAGGAAAACATGCACAAGGTATAAGAAAAGTATTCTTATACTTATAGAAACAATAGAGAGAAGTGAAGGACATTTTCTTTAAACTGTACTTTTTTCCATTATAGATTGAGATAACCTTTCCACCTGAATTTAGAGCTAGTTTTTAAATTTCATATGCATCTTGCTTGATATTTGTTAAAATCGATCTCTAATCATGTAAAAGTCTTCACAGTTCTTTGTACAAAAAAAGAGATGACAGAATTATGAAGGTTAAAGACAAACTGCTCGTCACAGAAAAGCAATCTTATCTCACTCACTGGTAATAATAATGGATAAGTTTCCTGAGCATTTTCTGCATGACAGGAAATATTCCTGTCAGTCTAGTTAGACCTACAACAACTCAATCACCCCTCAGCTCTCAGTGGTATGGCTATGAAGCGTAGCACCAGGGAGATTTGAACATGGCCTAAACACCGGAGGACAGTCCCTGGAGACTAGCCACTGCTCTCAGACTAGCTCATGCTGTGGCAGGGTATGGGCTCACTGCACAGCAGTGCACATGAAGGAGATGGACAGTGGAACAAGCACATGGTACTAAAGGTGAAGAAACAACTCTACAGTAGCCCCGAATTCTGTCCACAGGCTGTTTCTAACCAATACAGTGTGCTGTGGCTTCGGAATTTGGTGTTATCCACAAGTACTTGCAGTGCAAGATTAATTTTCTATTATTCTATTGTCTTGTGGGTCAGAAAGTATTATTTTCTGATTGGTCTATTATATTTGATATTGGAACAAAGATAATGTCGCATACATTTTTTTATTCCTGCAATGTCCTACATAATATCATCTCACAATAGCTATTTTAAAGTCCAGTAACCATTATCAATTAAATAATTATATCATGTCAGATCAGGAAGAATATTTTAGAAAGAATAACTCAATGGCCATAAATGATAGTCTTAGAAGTTGGGAGATTGCCTCAGGAACTTGAAGACTCAATGTCTTCTTAGGATTTAATACATTTTTCAGAGACAGTGGCAGCAAAGATAGAGAATAATTTTTTAAATGTGATCTAGGAAAATTTAGGATTGCATGTTCCTCTTGGTTTTCTAATTCCACTAAATCTACAAAAGTCCTGTGTCCTTTGTAAAAAGTGACAGAGCAGGAGTTGGAAGAGATGAGGTGAACATCACTGGAAAAAACTTGAAATTAAATGTTTTATAAAACTAATTTTTGATAAAATAAATTATGACTGTTCTACCCCAAATAATAGAAGCCAGGCTGCCCTGAACTATTAATTGTTAATAACTTGGATAATTAATAAATGGTAATTACAAAAGACTAAGGTTGGAGAAATATCTATTTCTCTGAATATTTAATTTGACTTCAAAGCTCCAAATCTTACAAAGGAACATCATTAGCATTTAGGATATTTTCTTCCTAATTTCTCCATTGTGACACAGTCTACATACTTTGTCTGTCAGCTGTGAAGATGTTTGGATCATAACAGAGCTAAACAGTAAAATTTTAGCCTGGGCTTAAACTTACCATACAATGCAAAGTATATGGCACAGTATCAAAGTATCCATACAGTATTGGGTTTCCTAAAGTGTAAAACCTGTAGATCTTCAAAGGAAACCAATCCCACATGGTCTCTCTCCTATCTGTTCCACAGTGAAATGCCCACGGTTCAATTCTGGTAATTAAGGGGCAGCCTCTTTTCTTTACAGATTCTCTGAGTTCGTATAATGAATTAGTGAAAAAAAAAGTTCACAAATGCACTGGTGTCCCTGTTCAATATTATGTACAAGGTTAGCAGCAGTCTGAATTGAATAACTACTTAACCCAGCTGTATCATGCATAAATTACAGACAAATAGACAAATATTTATAATACAAATAAATATGAGGGAGCATGTACCCAATGTCTACATATATATTGCATGCTTAACAAGCATGCGATATTTACATATTCAGTATTAGCACAGACTATTACTTTGCATCCATTCAATGAGTGGAGGGTTAAACACATACATGCAAGTGTACTTCGCAGCCATCTACACTAAATTTCTCAGGAAACAATTAAATCCATAATTTTAGTATTTGTTCTTTCACTTATTCTACCTCCATAAAAACTAGATTTCATGCGTTTGAACAATTATTACTTATAGACAAAAATGTATTTTTATTGTAATTTTTATGTTTGGAATGGTATTCCAAAGTATGGCTATAAAATATGTATAAAGTCCTATATTTTCGATTATTGACACATGTAATATCCTTGTGCAAATTTCCAAACTCTCGAACAGGAGGAACAGTGCTAAGGCACAGGTGTTTAACACACATTTTAACAGCTGATGGCTACTTCCTCTTTACTTCCAGAGTTATCACAGAACAGTATGGCTTTCACATTAAGTATGTTTACACACAGTGTTATGGAATAAATGTGCCAGTAAGATAAATGAAAAATGGAGTCACAAACCCTCAGAGTTCCCTCAATTGACTGTGGCAGAAACAAATGAGTACAAGGAAGCCATCACACACTCAGGAGTTGGATGACCAGCTTTTGTGCAGTGTCTAGAATTGTGCTGGATGGCCACAGGCAGCAGCAAGCACACACTGTGTGCCTGAAAGCCGCGTTGTGACGGCTCCTGGGTGACAACTTACCCTGTCCAGAGCTGCTTTCTCAAGCTCATCTTTGGCAACAGCTAACTTCTGTTCCAGCTCTGTGAGCTGTTGGGCCTGTAACAGAGAGGGAAAGCAGTTCATTTGAGAAAACACTATACTCCACATATTTGTTCTTCACGAGAAAGTAATGAAAGAAAAGGGATATAGCCTGGTAGTTGAATTTAAAATTCAACTAACAGAACTTTAAATCTTTGAAGACAAGAACTTTAAATCTTTGAAGAAAGAAATTGAGGAAGACACCAGAAAATGGAAGGATTTCCCATGCTCTTGGGTAGACAGAATTAACATAGAAAATAGGGAATCTTATCAAAAGAAATCTACAGATTCATTGCAATGCCCACCAAAATCCCAGCAAAATTCTTCACAGACCTTGAAAGAACAGTATTTATCTTCATATGGAAAAGCAAAGAACCCAGGATAGCCAAAACAATCCTGTACAATAAAAGAACTTCTGGATGCATCACAATCCCTGACTTCAAACTCAGCTAAAGAGCTACAGTACTGAAAACAGCCTGGTATTGGCATAAGAACAGACAGGAGGACCAATGAAACCAAATAGAAGACCTGGATATTAATCCACACTCCTTCAAACACATGATTTTAGACAAAGAAGCTAAAAGTATCAAATGGAAAATAAGAAAGCATATTTAACAAGTGGTGCTGGCATAACTGGATATCAACATGTAGAAGAATGTAAATAGACCCATATCTATCACCATGCACAAAACTCAAGTCCAAATGGATCAAAGACCTCAACATAAAGCCAGCCACACTGAACCTTATAGAAGAGGAAGTGGGAAGTACACTTGAACACACTGGCACAGGTGACCACTTCCTAAATATAACCGCAGCAGCACAGACACTGAGAGAAACAATTAATAAATGGGACCTCCTGAAACTGAAAAGTTTCTGTAAAGCAATGGACACAGTCAACAAGACAAAATGACAGCCTACAAAATGGGAAAAGATCTTCACTAACCCCATATCAGACAGAGGTCTGATCCCCAAAATATACAAAGAACTCAAGAAATTGGTCATCAAAAGAACACATAATCCAATAAAAAAATGGACTACATACATAAACAGAGAACTCTCAACAGAGAAAGGAATTTAAAATGGTTAAAAGACACTTAAGGAAATGTTCAACATCCTTAGTTATCAGAGAAATGAAAATCAAAACAACTCCAAGATTCCATCTTACACCTGTAAGAATGGCCAAGATCAAAAACACTGATGACAACTTATGCTGGAGAGGTTGTGGGGTAAAGAGAACAATTCTGGAGGAGTTCTTCCCAGAGAGGTGAGTGGGTGCTCACCTGGGCAGCCTGCCTGTCCGGGAAGAGAGCACAGCCCCCGCCCCCCAGCTTCTGCAGCAGGGTCTTCAGTGTTCCAAGGGACCCCTCCCCTCCCCCCCCACTGCTGTGGGCCTTTGCCTCTCGGGTCCTGGGACGACCAGCTAGCCCTGTTGCACTGCTGAGGTGCTCTTCCCAGAGAGCTGAGTGGATGCTCACCTGGGCAGCCTGCCTGTCCGGGAAGGGAGCACAGCCCTTCCCCCCTCAGCTTCTGCGGCAGGGTCTTCTGTGTCCCAAGGGACCCCTCCCCTCCCCCCACTGCACCGGGCCCTTTGTCTCCTGGGTCCTGGGAAGACCAGCTAGCCCTGTTACACTGCTGAGGAGTTTTTCCCAGAAAGGGCTGAGGAGCTCTATCCAGAGAGTGCTGTGAAGTCCTACCCAGAGAGTGCTGAGGAGTTTCATCCAGAGTGGAGGAGATGGGCAGGCGCCAATGCAAGAATTCCTCCAACAACCTGAAAGGCAACATGACATCGCCAGAATCCATGGAGCTCGAAACTAGAAGAATTGAACACCCTACTCCAGAAGAAATAGAAGAAATCGACTCTAAGCGCTTCTTTATGAAAATAATAGAGGAACTTAAACAGGAGGTGAAAATCTGCCGTAAAAAAATGGAAGATAAATATAACAAAAAAATTGAGGAAATGAGTATAGAAATGGAAGAGAAATATAACAAAAAGTTTGAAGAAATGAGTAAATCTGTAAATGAAATTCTGGGAAACCAAGAAAAAACAATCAAACAGGTAATAGAAACAGTTCAAGATTTGAAAACTGAAATGGAGTCAATGAAGAAATCACAAACCGAGGGCCGGCTGGCTATGGAAAATCTGGGTAAACGAACAGAGACTTCAGAAACAAGCTTAACCAATAGAATACAAGAGATAGAAGAAAGAATCTCAGACTCTGAGGACACCATAGAGAAATTGAACACTCTGACCAAAGAAAACAGCAAATCCAACAAATTCTCATCACAAAACATTCAGGAACTGTGGGACACAATAAAAAAAACCAAATCTAAGAATAATAGGAGTAGAAGAAGGAGAAGAATTGCATTTCAAAGGTCCAGAAAATATACTCAACAAAATTAAAGAAGAAAACTTTCCCATCCTAAAGAATGATATTCCTATGAAGGTTCAAGAAGCATACAGAACACCGAATAGACTGGATCAGAAAAAAACATCCCCTCGTCATATAATAATCAAAACACAAATCATTCAGACTAAAGAAAGGATATTGAGAGCTGCAAAGGAAAAAGGTCAAGTAACTTATAAAGGTAAACCTATCAGACTTACACCAGACTTCTCGATGAAAACCATGAAAGCCAGAAGGTCCTGGATAGAGGTACTGCAGAAACTAAGAGACAATGGATGCAAGCCCAGACTACTTTACCCAGCCAAGCTATTGTTCACTATCAACGGAGAAAACAAAATATTCCAGGATAAAAACAAATTTAAACAATACGTAGCTACTAATCCAGCCTTACAGAGAATACAAGAAGGAAAATCACAACCCAAGGAATCCAACATTCCCAACACTGCCTACATTAACTCAGACATCTAGCGACCCTTCACAAGCACAACTCAAAGAAGGAAAACACATACACTCTACTACCCAAAAAGATGACTGGAGTCATCGATCACTGGTCATTAATATCACTTAATATCAATGGTCTCAACTCACCTATAAAGAGGCACAGAATTAGAGATTGGATACAAAAACAGGATCCAACATTCTGCTGTCTACAAGAAACACCTCAACCACAAAGACAGACACCTACTCAGAGTAAAGGGTTGGGAAAAGTTTTCCAAGCAAATGGACCTAAGAAACAAGCGGGTGTGGCCATTCTAATATCTAACAAAATCGACATCAAACTAAAATCAATCAGAAGAGATGGAGATGGACATTTCATACTCATAACAGGAACAATTCATCAGGAAGAAGTCTCAATCTTGAATATCTATGCCCCTAATATAAAGGCACCCATGTATGTAGAAGAAACTCTACTAGAACTCAAGGCAGTCATCAAACCACACACACTAAACAGTAGGAGACTTCAACACTTCTCTCTCACCAATGGACAGGTCAATCAGACAGAAACCTAACAGAGAAATAAGAGATTTATTGGAGGTACTGAATCAAATGGACTTAACAGACATCTATAGAACACTCCACCCAAATAGGAAAGAGTATACCTTCTTCTCTGCAGCTCATGGAACCTTCTCGAAAATTGACCACATACTTGGTAACAAAGCAAACTACCACAGATACAAAAAAATATTAGTAACCACATGTGTCTTGTCAAATCACCATGGACTAAAATTAGAATTCAACAACAATGGTACCCCCAGGAAGCCAACAAACTCATGGAAGTTGAACAGTCAACTACTAAATCACCCTGGGTCAAGGAAGAAATAAAGAAAGAAATTAAAGTCTTCCTTGAATATAATGAAAACAAAGACACAATGTATTCAAACCTATGGGACACAATGAAAGCAGTGCTAAGAGGAAAGCTCATAGCACTAAGTGCCCACCTAAAGAAAACGGAGAAAGCACACATGGGAGACTTAACAACACACTTGAAAGCTCTAGAAAAAAAAGAAGCTGATTTACCCAGGAGGAGTAGAAGACTGGAAATAATCAAACTGAGGGCTGAAATCAACAAAATAGAAACACAGAAAACAATTCAAAGAATCAATGAAGCAAAAAGATGGTTCTTGGAGAAAATTAACAAGATTGACAAACCCCTATCCAAACTAATCAAACGGCAGAGAGAGAACTTGCAAATTAATAGGATCAGAAATGAAAAGGGGGACATAACCACAGACACAGAGGAAATTCAGAGAATCATTAGATCTTACTACGAAAGTTTATATGCCACAAAATTGGAAAATGTAAAAGAAATGGACATTTTATTAGATAAGTACCATATACCAAAGTTGAACCAAGACCAGGTGAACAATCTAAATAGAACTGTTAGTCGCGAGGAATTAGAAGCTGTTATCAAAAATCTCCCTACCAAAAAAAGCCCAGGACCAGAGGGTTTCAATGCAGAATTCTACCAGAACTTCCAGGAAGAGCTAATACCTATACTTCTTAATGTATTCCACAATATAGAAAAAGAAAAGTCACTGCCAAACTCCTTTTATGAAGCTACAGTCACCCTAATACCAAAACCACACAAAGACACAACCAAGAAAGAGAATTACTGGGCAATCTCACTCATGAACATCGATGTGAAAATTCTCAATAAAATACTGGCAAACCGAATCCAAGAACACATTAGAAAAATTATCCATTATGATCAAGTAGGCTTCATCCCAGAGATGCAGGGATGGTTCAACATATGCAAATCTATCAATGTAATCCATCATATAAATAAACTGAAAGAAAAAAACCATATGATCATTTCATTGGATGCTGAAAAAGCATTTGACAAAATTCAACACCCATTTATAATAAAGGTGTTGGAGAGACTGGGGATACAAGGATCATACCTAAATATAATAAAAGCAATATACAGCAAGCCGAAAGCTAACATCAAATTGAATGGAGAGAAACTCAAAGCCTTTCCACTAAAATCAGGAACACGACAAGGCTGTCCACTCTCTCCATACCTCTTCAATATAGTGCTTGAAGTTCTAGCAATAGCAATAAGACAACATAAGGGGATCAAGGGGATTCGAATTGGAAAGGATGAAGTTAAAC